TCAAAAAAAAAAAAAAAAAAAAAGAGAAGAAATGACATCTTTATGAAATTGTCTTTCCATTCATGAGCATGTTGTTTCCATATTATGTGTTTCAGCACATTTTTATAATTTTCTCCATAAAGATCTTCGACATCTTTGTTAGATATATTTCAAGGTTCCTTGTGGGGTTGTTTCTTTGTGTTTTTTTGTTTGTTTGGTTGGTTTTTTTTGAGTTGGAGTCTCACTCTGTCGCCCAGACTGGAGTGCAGTGGCAGCTCCCGGCCACCGCAGCCTCGATCTGCTGGGCTCCAGCGATCCTTCTGCCTCAGTCTTCTGAGTAGCCGGAATTACAGGCGCGCGCTACCACGCCCGGCTAATTTTTTGATTTATTGTAGAGATGAGGTCTCGCCTGCCCAGGCGGGTCTCGAACTTGTGGGCTCAGGCAATCCACTCATCTCAGCATCCCAAAGGCGCGAGATTATAGGCTGAGCCACCGAGTCCAGCTGTTTCTTTGTTTTTTGCTATTTCATATGGTATCATTTTTTTTTAAATTGCATTTCCAACTTGCTTATTGCTGATATATAGGAATGTTGGGGGGTTTTGTATACTGATCCTATCATTAAATTTTGCTGAATTTTCTTATTAACTGTAGTGGTTTAGATCTTCTCTATACGCAATTATGATGAATGATAAAAAAAACCTAGATTTTCATTTTTCATCTTTGTGCATTTTGCTTCTTTTCTTATTGCCTCAGACAGAACCTTCAGTAAGATGTGAACCAGGAGTTATGAGACTGGTCTCTTTATCTTGTTTCTGACTTAAAAGGGAATACTTGCTGATGTTTACCCTGAGTTGTATGAGATACTATTTATCATGTTAGAGGATTATCTTGCCATTTCTACCTAGATAAGTTTGCACTATAAGTATGTACTGAATGTTATCAAAACATTTTTCTGAATCTTCTGGGGTGACTGTATCACTTTCTTCCTTTAATCTGGAAATGTGGTAAATTATGCCAGTAAGTTTTCCACTGTTAGACCATCCTTGAATTCCTGGGATAAATCCTCCTTAGCCAAAATTGTGTTTTTTATTCTTGCCACATAAGATTTGCTCATGTTTTATTTAGGAATTTTGCATTTATATTATTAAGTGAAATGGAACTATAATTTTTCTCTTTCTGGTTTTTCTCTTACTAACCATGTTAAATTTTATGAGACATATTACATGAGTTGGGAAGCTTTCCTTCTTTTTTTTACATTCTCTTGAACTATTTATGTAAAACAGGAGTTTTATACAGTTATTCCCTGAAGGTTGAAAGTCATTATGACCTTTGAAAGCTTAAAAGCATATGGGTCTACTGTGTTTTATTGTGAATTTTTTTTTGAGAGATGGAGTCTCATTACATTATTACCCAGGCTGGACTTGAATTCCTGCACCTAGCAATCCTCCTGGTTCAATATCTAAGTAGTTGGGACTAATTACATTGAAAATTTTTAAACAATTTTAAACAACATAGTGGTTGTATGTTCACATAGGTATTCAATTTCTTCTTTTTTTTTGAGTTGGCGTCTCACTCTGTCGCCCAGACTGGAGTGCAGTGGCCGCTCCCAGCCACTGCAGCCTCGATGTGCTGGGCTCCAGCGATCCTTCTGCCTCAGCCTTCCAAGTAGCCGGAATTACAGGCATGCACTACCACGTCCAGCTGATCTTTTGATTTATTGTAGAGATGAGGTCTTGCTGCCCAGGCGGGTCTCGAACCCGCGGGCTCGGACAATCCACTCACCTCAGCCTTTCAAAGGCGTGGGATTACAGGCTAAGCCACCGAGCCCAGCCTATTTCTTCTTAAGCAGTGTATCAGGTAAAGAAGACATTAAGCAAAGCTCTCTCTGTCTTTCCATTCTACCATCTTTAGCTTAAAGACCTCCACCTCATGCTTGCTATGCTTTGGACTCAAAATAGCTGCTTGAGTTCTCACAACTAGTTTTTTAGGTAAGAAAGAAAATGCAGCAGAAAAGTGATGCATCTATATCAGGAAACCAAAAACTTTTATCCCATTATCCAAAACTGTACTTCATGACCCACCTAGCAACAAAGGAATTTGGGGAAGTATTTTTATATGGGCACATTATTACACCAAGCAAATGAGAGCTCTATTAATAAAAGAGGAGGAGAGTGAGATTTTAAATTGTCAACTGGCTACATATGCCATCGTCACTTTACTTAAGTTATATTTTTCTAAGAAATTGTCCATTTCACCTAAAGTCCTAACTTCTCTTATAATTTTTAAGAGTGTCTACCATGACCAGGCATGGTGGCTCAGCCTGTAATTCCAGCACTTTGGGAGGCTGAGGCAAGAGGACTACCTGAGCTCAGGGGTTCAAGACAAGCCTGGGCAACTTGTCGAGAACTTGTCTCTACAATAAATCAAAAAATAAGCTAGGCATGGTAGTGCACACCTGTAGTTCCAGCTACTTGGAAGTCTGAGGTGGAAGGATTGCCTGAGCACAGCAGGCGGAGGCTGCAGTGGCCATGAGCGTGCCACTGTACTCCAGCCTGGGCGACAGAGTGAGACTCCCACTCAAAAAAAAAAATTCTGAATATTTTACCTTTGTACCTTTTAAAATTCTTCTTTACCAGAAGTTTGTCTATTTTATTAATCTTTTCAAACAACCAGTTCTGGTGTTCTTGAGCCTCCAAATGCTTCTTTGATTTCTGGCCATTTTTTTCTGTGAACATTATTTTTACC